TATATATATACTGTATATATATATATATATATATATATATATAAAGGTTAGAAATTGATTGCATTTCAGTGAGTGAATAAGTATCTGATCCCCAAGCAAAACATGACTTAGTACTTGGAGCAGAAACCCAATTGGCAAGCACAGAGGTAAGACGTTTTTTTGTTGTTGGTCACCAGGTTTGCACACATCTATATATATATTATTACTGTTTGCCCAAACATTCAGATTTCATTTCATTTATTTCATTTGAGAGAGGAGATTTAAAATGTGTTAGATATCTGTCATTTTGAGGTAAATCAAAGACAATAAAAGGTCCAATGACGTCATCATCATGTGTGCTTTATACCATGGTGGAGCATCCAATCGACTTCTATTGTTCTTAAATTAAACTAATTACAGATACCTCTGTAGTTGGCATTTTTACACCTGAAGAGAACATCATTTAACTAATCAGCAAAGGGATTAAAGCTCTGATCTGATTTGTAGAAAAAAAAAATTCATATATATATATATATATATATATATATATATAAAAATCTGGGCAAAATGTAATTTGGGTCATTATTTTCATTGCATCTTTTTAGATTCATAGTGCATAATGAAGACACAAATACAAATTCTCTTCTAATTTGACGTATTTATTGATTGAAAATGACCAGATTCTGTATCATTTTGAAAATATCAAAAAGAATGTCTTCTTGCATATGTTTGCAACAGAAAGTTTTCTTGTCTCAGTAGTATGTTTCTTGTTCCACCCAGCCTGAAACAAAACAGCACATATATGAGAGCTAGTTCATTCACTGCAAAATAACAAATACTCCTATGAAAGTTATCGTTATTATAGATCCCATTCAAAACCCAGCTTTCCTCTTGTTAGCGTTAAAATGAAAACAAACATAGTTGTTATCAACATCAAAGTCTGCCAGTATGTGTTAGGAATATCTGTTATTACCTCCTGGGCTCCGCCTAAGGATGTATCTTCTAACTTCATCATAGACGAAGATGAGCAGTGAGTATGGGAAGGCACAGAACCACCAAGATGGTCTAAAACATAATACCAAAGTTAAATTGGGTTTTCAAGGTCAGCTAGATTTTCTTAGTGCAAAACACTAGTTATGTCCACTTACTTGAGAGGATACATTCTCAAAGCAATGTCCATGCCTGGGCAGTAGGACAAGAAAGCTGCCAGAGCAGTTTCTTCAAACAGACCAAAGATGAGGATTTTGTTTCTAGAAAAGAAATGTGGTGACACGGCCTATAAAAACAATCCAGTATAACACATATTGCACAATTTTATGGTTGGACCCTTTGTTTACATACCTCATTCCCTGCTGTACAATGGAATTCCTTCTGGTCTTGCAGATGATCAGATCGGCCCACTGCACAATCACAATACTGGCGAAGAATGATGTGTGGCATGTGAACTCCACAATCTTTCTGCGCTCATATGTCTGGAAGAATAAACAGATGAGCCATATTTACATGACTGATACCTCACTTTTTTTTTTTTTTATGTATACAGTTGTGACACCTACCCATTGCTGGCCATAGCTATCTTCCAAGTCATTGAGATATTTATCATCCCAGTTGACTCGAATTCCTATTAAATCGGAGGGCAGGAATCCGTTCTCGGCAAGAATCACAAAGTAGGCAAAGAACCCTGCAACTGCTTGCATCATACCTAGAAATAAGTATGATGACATTGAAATTAAAGTTTACAGGGTCTGTCAATAGATTAAAATAATTGTGTGTAACCGACAATCAAGCGCTTGTTTTATTTGCATGTATTTATGTAATGTACAGCATTTATTTTTTTGAATTTTAGTATTCCATTACTTAATCAGTCCAACCAAGATTTTTTTTTCAGATTTTTGTGTTCTAAAATGACTGAATTTGCAGCGACTTTTCTCAAATGTTGTGGCAATATTTGCAGCACTCGTGTTGTTTTGCCGTGAAAATATACCACAGGCAACATTCTTGTAACATTTATATTACTTTTCTGACCTCAAGAACACGCATGGAAATGTTTTTCTTTTATACATTGTCTAAT